TAAAAGTATTAATTACTTCGCAACCTTCCGCTAACTAAAGTTGCGAAGTAATTAATATTTTTATTATAATGGATTTCCGCAAGTAACGCCTGATTCTATCAATTACTTCAAATCTTTAAAAATATTATATTGCTGATTCATCCTTTAGAAGGATACTGCATAAATCTCTGTCTTCCTTTCAAACTTTGATTAAAATGCTAGCACAGTGTAAAACTGTCCACAGGAATTACAAGAATTAATTCCCCACCTCATTACTTTGAATGTAACTAGTATTCAGATATGCATTGTTCTTCATGTGTGTAAACTATGGCAAATATCCCCTGTGAGGCAATCTATATTGGAGTTCTATGTTCAACAGTGTATTTTTAATAGGTTGTAATTAGGGAATGCAATCTCGCGAGATTTTAGACCTAGCCGAGTAGAGAGACTAGGATCCTGGTTTTTTTTTTTTTTTTTTATTGTTTATTTTAAAATAAAACAAAATATTACGTTATAATATAATATTCGTGAGTCTTATTCTTATTATATAAACTGAAAATCAGCCTTCTGCATCTGCAGTTTTAAGAACAAAAAACTTAAAATAAAACAAAAAGAACACTTCAAAATATAACAAAGATCAGCCTTCTGCAGTGTTAAGAACAAAAAACTCAAAATAAAACAAAAAAACACTTCGAAATAATTCGAAATGTAACACTTATTCAGCCTTCTGCAGCATTTGTAATTTTTAAGGATATGTAAGTATTATTAGACAGTGTTATTAAAAGGATAAGTTATTTTTGAAAGTGGCTTCTCAAAAAACACAGCATATCAAGGGTTTCATCTGATAGACGACTCCTGATTTTACAGGCCAAGTACCCCGCGGCCGAAAATGCTCTTTCTGCCTCTACACTAGTCGGAACCACAGTCTACAAACAGTTGTGTACAAACTGTTTTTGAGTTTGTCGACATAGTTCAATGCCAAATTACATTAAATGTTAACTAAAATAACCAGTTAATCACAAAAATCCCTTAAATTCAACAAAAACTAGATAATTACGTAAACAAATGCACGCATGCTGGCAAAGTGAAGACAGTGAGTGAGCCGGGCCTCGTCCCCCGCGAGTAGTGCCTACAGCATGCTCAGCAGTGTTGCCAAATTGACAGGTTTCCTGCTAGATTGGACGGGTCACAGAGGTTGGCAACGGGAAAAAAATTGTGTTTAACGGCTAACGGATGTTTAACGGGACCGTTATAGGTATTATAAAACGGATGTATGTATAAACTTTGGTAGATTGAATTCTTAAAAATAATCCATGTGTGTCAAGAATCGATATCAAATCAATTCATTCTTAATATTTAGGGGGGAATAAAAACTGGAAAATCCCTACTTGATGGGTTTTGACAGGATTATAGTGTTCTCTACAACGGGAGCTAGATTTTAATGTTGGCAACACTGATGAGCAGAACAGGTCGCGCGCAACCGCTTTACGATATACACACCGATTTTGCCGCTCGATCTCACAATCTCGCGAAAAAATTGAATGAGACCCAGTCTCGCAAAATATGGACGAGATCTCGCGAGATCCCGATCTACGAGACGACATGAGATTGCATTCCCTAGTTGTAATGAATAATTGAATAATTAATAATATAAATATAATTTAGAAGTTATGCAAGGTTGGAAAAATTAATCAGTTGTATGATGATTTTGGGATCTTTATATGAAAATTGATTATGCTTTTATTAAACATGAGACATTCAAGATGGTATTTCTACAACAGTCGGAAATTGTTTTTAGTTCATTTCCATGTAATTTTTCTTACATTAATATTAAAAAACTGGTTGTATTACACAATGACTTCGTGTATAAAACATCACAAATAAAGCAAAAACATTTTCATTGTCATAACTGAGGCCATACATAAATTTCCTTAGTAAAGAAAATAAATTAAGAACCGTGAGCCTGTATAATAGAACAGATTCAATTGAATAGATTATTTAGGATAGCTAGAAAGGTAGCGCAATCTTTTCCATGTTTATTGTCAATACGTAAGGTCAGCTGACGAATTGTTGCACCATGTTATTATTTCCATTTATAGCTTTTACCTTTATCGATTCCTTCCCTCCTAGTTCACAATCTTCTTGTGCGTACATTAATGGTATTGTAGCCATTTTTTGGTACTTCTATTTAAATTTATTTAGAGTATTGGTATGTAACAAAAACCTCAAATAATTTGTTTTTCGAGTAGTTGTCGTATTCGTATACGTGACAGCTATGATGACTTATCTATGATGATGACGGTGATGGCTGACCTTGATGGTTGACACCAGTGACACTGACAGCACAACGTTTTTTTAATAAGTTTTTTGGCTTGGATGCTTGTTTTTAGACATGTCTTCATTTCATTCGGCATGTTGTCGCTAAGTCGATAATTTAACGTCGGACACTTTGCTCTATACGGATCGTACGTCGTACACTTTGCTCTATACGGATCATCATTCGCAAAAGTAGTCATGTTTTGAAGATACACCTTTTCTTCCACTGTCATCGGTACTTCTGACTTATATGTTTCGCCTTTTTTGTCTTTTTGGTGAAGTAGGGCCTTCAGAGTCACATTCACTCATATTAACGATTATTAATTACAATAAAACACGGAATATGGAATTATTTCACTAGCAACCGTAATTTTGACACATTACAAACGAGCGCCAGGTCGTACTCGACTCGTAGGTGAAACTGTTATATATATATATATATATATATATATATATATATATATATATATATATTATGTTTAATTTATGTATTACTTGAGATATCTATGTTTACAGGTCGAACCCTATGCGATAGTGTCCTCTTTTTCATTATAAAGTAAGTCTTTTTTATAAATATATCTAGCTAAACAAACTAAAAAAAAAAAACATTAATAAAATAAAATAAAAAATACAAAAACTTAACAATAAACAGAAAAAAAAATATACAAAATCAGCTAATACTACAAAAAAAAAAATCGTTTTCGAAAAAAAAAATTGTTGACCCTGCAGGCCATCCCTGAAACTTCCCGCTAATTTAATTAATAAGAGTAATTTAAAAAAAAACAACTGTTTCGTTAACGATATCTCACGAACGAATCAACCGATTTTAACCGAACCAGCGGCGATCGACTTGGTTTTTCAAGGTTAGAAGCAGATTAGTTTTTGGAATCGATTGGTAAAGCCGAAGTTTGATGAAAATCTTTGGAAATCCGCTTAGTTCATTTCAATCGGTCAAGCTGTTTAATAGCACGCAAGCATAACACACGCACGCACGCACGCACGCACACACACACACACACACACACACACACACACACACACACACACACACACACACACACACACACACACACACACACACACACACACACACACACACACACACACACACACACACACACACACACACACACACACACACACACACACACACACACACACACACACACACACACACACACACACACACACACACACACACACACACACACACACACACACACACACACACACACACACACACACACACACACACACACACACACACACACACACACACACACACACACACACACACACACACACACACACACACACACACACACACACACACACACACACACACACACACACACACACACACACACACACACACACACACACACACACACACACACACACACACACACACACACACACACACACACACACACACACACACACACACACACACACACACACACACACACACACACACACACACACACACACACACACACACACACACACACACACACACACACACACACACACACACACACACACACAAACACACACACACACACACATACAGAATGATTTTGGATCTTTAGAAAACTGACATTGAATTTTATTTCTATGCTGTTGATGCGCAATTTGAATAGCTTTTTTAACAGACGCTCAGTATTTAGCAAATTCAATGTAGTCAGATCTTAGTTTCGTTTCTTTGTACCTTTTGTGTAGTGTGGCTTTCGTTTTTATATCGCGTAGGTATTATTTACGTTAGTGGAAGTACGTCGTCTCAACCACAACCACCTTTTCATTAATTTTTTACCAAGCTGAAAGACAGGAACAGGTTCATAAAAGTGGCACCTATGTGCGTCTCGTTTCGTTCATTATACTAGTGAAAAAGAGTTTCACTATTACTTGTTACGTTTAAATGTGTCACAAAATACGGCAATTGACTCTAGTGAAATGAAATGTTTTTTCACTAGTGTCATGAACGATATTTATGAAAAAAGAAAAGAAATCATGAATTCCCGTATAATACGGCATTATACAAAATATCAATGGCTTTACAATTTGGACTTCCCAAAAATTCAATTTAAAATAATTTTAGGATTAATCATATTGGGTCCTTACATATGAAATTAGCGTTTTTTCGTACTGACCACTTTGATCTGAAATATAGGAGATATTGGCTTGAAATTCTAAATTCAAATTTATAAATACATTTAGCTGGTATATTTAACCTTAACCATTAAAACCGTGCAGTGGGTTTTGGAGGAATGCATGGCTTCAGAGGTATCTTCATACATTTTCTCCACCTCGTCATAGAGATGGGCCGAGGTTGGTGCATACAGGTTTATGACCTTCAATAAATACCGTTTATTGATTCTGAGTGTAAGGTACGCTACCCTCGTTGACACACTTCTAATCTTTACAACTTTGTTAACGGGAGACTTGTGGACGTTAAATCCGAAACCTTCTTGGGACAAATGATAGAACAAGTTGTCGGATTCGAGACTCTTCGAAACTCAAAGAAAACAACTAAGTAACAAAAGAAAAAAGACTTATACTACTATTCCTCCTGTACAAAACACCAATTTCATATGTAAGGACTTATTATATTTCACAGAAACATATTCGCTGTCAAGTGACTGTTACACCAAAATTGGATAAATAAAAAAACCGCGTGCGCTGCACAAACGTTAAAAAGTGTTTAGTCAAAGAGACCGAAGCCCATTCAACATTCCATCATCAGACTCAGATTCTTCCTTCTTGGTCTCTTTATCTTCCTTCTTCTCCTCAGCTGCCGGTGCAGCAGCAGTTACGACCGCGGCCACGAGAGATGCACCATCAACGGGCATAGATGATAACTTCTCGCGTCCCTGCGCGATCACCTCTTCAACACTCTTGCCATTGAGCTCAGAGATGACCTTCTTCAGTTTCTCAGAGTCGGCCTCAATATCCACAGAGCTGAGGATCCTTTCAACGTCAGCAGCGGCTGGAGAAGCCTTACCGCCCAGCACGGCTACCAGAAAATCATAAATGTATCGACGTGTATAATATAAGTTTTAAAAATGCTGCCAAAATATACTAAGAATCAAGTTATAATATGCTAACTTTCTTTAAACATTTAAATTTAAACGTAGTTTTAACTTGGTCGATTCAAATTGCTCCTTAAAACCCGATTGTCGCTGACTTGATGTTTTCAAGAGGAATTTAATTAGAATTCTCGAGAAAATTTCTTCAATAAAGATGCTCAAGATAAAATTGTATATTTAATTTAAGCGTTTTAGCTACTGGCTATGAGTGGTGTCTGTTTCGGCACTATACCTTTTTATTTCATTGCTAATGAATACGGTGAAAATTACTCTTTTTCTTTCATAAATTGTTTTTATTTAATATCAAGTCACTTAAAATTAATTTGCTAATTGACGTTAAATAATATTTAAATTTTGTGTTTAATTTTAAACTAGCAATTGCAAACTGGAATTTTTTTTGTGAATGACGATTTACGGTTTACGATTGACGGTTTTTATATGGTTTGGTCTTGCAATAAATAGAGTACATACAATACTAGAAAAAGTAGCTATTTGGCTTGCCATCGATTGTAATAGTTAGAAAATACACATGTCCCATTGCTTTGGTCCGCCGTGCTATCCCAATACATGTTGGCCAGACTTCATATGTTTCGAAATATTTTTTATTTTTCAGACATGATTTCATCAAAGAAAACGTAGTGAATGCCGATACCGACGGAAATTGAACCCGAGTTCGTCATGTCTATTGCTGTATTATATTGTATAACTCATTTATTATAATGTTCCCCGCATTATAATTGGGATTCTAATGAGTATAGTATCTTAACTTGAAGTTTTTAGAGTCGTTTCTTGCAATTTCACAGGTTTGGCGTATTGCATACAACATATCGACAGCCATGAGATATTTCTGACCTGTCTCAACGTCTCTTCTTTCGACACCCATAAGATGAAATGGAACGATGGTTTTTCTTACACCGCAACTACAACCAACATTTGATCTCAGTAATGATCATATGTGGTGCAGCCGCTGAAGAGTACTGTAACTGCACTACGAACAAATCTTCTCGATCGGGAAAGGACCACGCTGGCACAGAATATCAATCAGCGTAAAGTAGCAGCAAAATGATTTGTGTTACGAGTGTGGATAGAACAGTAATAAACGTTACAATTCCCACACTCGTTCATGCAGTATAAAGTATTGCGCAGGCAACTATTTTTGTTCATTCCAAGAATTTTATACGTTGTTTTTGTTCTGTCCGTCGTGGTAATTCTTTTATAACGGTTAAAAAGGATGATGTTGCAACGGAGTTGCCATTCATATAATAATAATAATAACGTCCTCCAGACCGAATTTCGGCCACGGCGGCCTGCTTCAACGGAGGCTAGCCATCGGCGCAGGACAGAATTATAGTGCCCAAGTGTATGCGTAAGCACAGGTGCACTCTCTATTCTCTCACTCTCATAATCCGATGGGACGGTAAACCGACACGACCGGAGAGAGATCAGGCGCAGGACCAACGGCTTTACGCGCTTTCCGAGGCACGGGGGTGAGAAGAGTAGAGAGTGAAACAGAGAGTGCGACTCCGGGCAGCTACTGAGAATTTCTTGACAGAGGAACTCAATAGTTAATTTTTTTGCCTGGCCCGGGATTCGAACCCAGGACCTCATGATCAGCAGTCGCACTACTACACCCACTAGACCAACGGGGCAGGCATCCATATATTACAGCCTATAAAGGTCCACTGCTGAACATAGGCCTTCCCCATAGATTTAGTGGTTATACTTGGCAGGCGGTTTGACAACTACACTTTTTTCTTTTTTTTCTTTTGTTATCAGGAAGATGCTGCTACTCATCACCTGCTTCAATATCCCTCTGTCACGTCCTACGACACCCATGGGATTATAATATAGAGTAGCGGATATTCTTACATCGACACCACACAGTACTTTACGGTTATTTTTGTAATATATTGTATTTTTAACGCGTTCCATGAACGTGTTATTACGTAAAGTTGTTACCAAGAAAAACCCATTTAGTTAAATAGTTTTGGGTGTATTTTTGTTAGCGACGTATTGTTATTTTTTAAATAAAATATTTTACTATTTTGTAATATTTGTATCTTAGGTTAAGGTTTGTTTTGTATAGTATGGTAACGGTTATTTTATAAATCATCTGTAGGTAGACTTGTATATTTGTTATAAAATTCTTAAGGTAGATGCCAATGAGCGAAGCCTTACCAGTAATCTTAGTGGGGAGTTACCCAATCGCCGCCTGTGTGCACAGACATACGTTCAAGTTGTATTGCGTTTTGAAAAATGTAACGGTATTTCTTGCTTTTCTGGCACAATAAACATTTTTGTAAGCAGCACGAGTTCTTGTCTTGCTATCGATCCAATTCAATTCTCCAACAGTTAATGATTTCTTAAATTTACGCGAACACTATTGAATAAAACTAAATTCACGAATTTTATCGCCTTTATTTTACTACTTTTACTTATTATTAATTCCCGACGTTTCGGGTGCTTTACAGCACCCATGGTCACGGGGGGGGACTGAGATGTTTGACGTCCCAATGTCATAATTAGTCCCTTCAGTTTTTGAATATTAATCGGACCATAAATTAATATTCAAAAACTGAAGGTAGCCGTAAATTTAGTTTTATTCAATCTCCAACAGTTGTTTGTTATGGTGAATGACGATTTCACTGGTAAGGAAGCATTCGCTTAAGGGTTGTAAAGCCCCTGCATTTAGATTTTTAATTAAAGAAGGTTCTGTGTGATTGTTTTGTTACTCTTAGTGATGCTATAAAAAACGAACAACGAAAACGACTTATAATAAGGCTATGAGCTCACCATATTATCTAATAAGCGAATTAGAGGACAATAATGATGACGATGAAGAATACAATGAAAATCCACCTTCGAACATGGAAGAAGGATGGTTGGATCACTTCAATAGTCCAGCTCCAGGACCTTCGAATTGTCAACCACATTCAAGCCTTCTTGGTGTTGCAGCGTGGAGGCAACAAAGTAGAGAACTTATATGGAAAAATCGTAATTTGCAATACAGTGAAGAACGTATACGTTTCACAGGAAATACAGACCTTTCCCCTCCACTAGCCGCGCTTGAAACACCATTCCAATTTTTCTCCGAATTTATGAATGAGGATATACTCACTGTTCATCATCATCATTACAGCCCTTCACAAGTCCACTGCTGAACATAGGCCTCCCCCAAGTAATGCCACAAAGCACGGTCCTGAGCCACCTGCATCCATCGACTTCCTGCATATCTTACCAGGTCGTCACTCCATCTAGTGGGGGGTCGCCCTACACTACGCCTACCGGTTCGAGGCTGGCTGTCGAGATCCTTTCTTCCCTATCGGTTATCGGTTCTTCGAGCTATATGGCCGGCCCATTGCCACTTCAGCTTACTAATCCGTTGGGCTATGTCGGTTACTCTGGTTTTACTGCGGATATCCTCATTTCTGAGTCTATCATGCAGAGAAACTCCGAGCATAGCCCTCTCCATAGCTCGCTGAGCGACCTTGAGCGTCCTCATACGGCCAGCAGTGAAGGACCACGTCTCAGATCCGTAAGTCATCACTGGCAACACGCACTGGTTGTACAATCTAGTTTTTAGAGATTGAGGTATACCTGACGAGAAGATATGTCGTAATTTCCCGAACGCTGCCCAGCCGAGTTGAATCCGTCGATTGACCTCTCGGTCGAAGTTGGACTTGCCTAGTCGGACTATTTGTCCCAGGTAAACGTACTCGTCAACAACTTCGAACAAAGTGCTCCCAACAACTACCGGCATAGGTGTGACATGGACATTAAACATGATCTTTGTTTTGTCCATGTTCATCTTAAAACCTATCCGTTGGGAGGCACCTATTGAGGTCATTGAGCATAGTGCTTAAGTCCTCCAGCGATTCTGCCATGAGGACTATATAGTCGGCAAATCGAAGGTGCGTGATGTACTCGCCATTGATGTTAATACCGTATCCTTTCCAGTCCAGTAGCTTGAAAACGTCTTCCAATGCAGCGGTGAAGAGTTTCGGGGATATAACGTCACCCTGTCTTACACCTCTCTGCAGTTGGATAGGTTTCGAGCTCTGGTTCTGTACTCGGATAGCCATCGTAGCCCTACTGTACAAACACTTCAGCACTTCGATATACCGACATTCAACTTGGCTACGCTGAAGGGACTGTAGCACCGCCTAAATTTCGACGGAATCAAAGGCTTTCTCATAGTCCATATACGCCAGGCAAAGTGGCAGATTGTACTCTTCGGTCTTCTGTACAATCTGCCGCAGGGTATGTATGTGGTCTATGGTACTGAAGCCTTTTCGGAAACCGGCTTGTTCGGGAGGCTGGAAGTCGTCGAGTCTGCGTGCGAGACGATTCGTAATAACTCTCGAAAACAGCACGTAGACGCGGCTCAGAAGGGAAATCGGTCTGTAATTCTTCAAGAGAGCGTTAACTGGCAGCGATCACCGAATGGTTAGAGGCACACTGAACCTAAACGTTCAGTTGGAGAGGTCTCGTCTAATGAAGTCAACGCTCCGTCCCCCTCGTGCTCTAATCCAGAATCCCGAAAACTTTCAGCTCGAGTTACGTAACCGCTTTCAGTGCCTACAAGATTGCAATGCAGTGGACGATATGAATGACAAGCTCGTGGAAACTGTCCATGCGGTCGAAGCTAAGTTCTGCAAGACCCGCCGCAGAAGAACACAAAAACTCTCCGATCACACTCTTAATCTCATGGCTGTTAGACGGGAGATGAGGCTGCAATCGTCAACAGATTTGACACCATACAGGCAACTGAACAGACAGATCTCCAAATGCATGCGGCGAGACTTACGCAACTTTAATACTGCTCGTATTAAAGAAGCGATCGAGCGGAACCAGGGCTCCAAAGTCTTTGCCAGAGATCTGTCTGCCAGTAAGAGCCAACTGTCAAAGCTGAAGACTGAGTGTGGCAGCATCGTTTCCGGGACACCTGAGATTTTGAGTGAGATTGAGAGGTTCTATGGGCAGCTGTACACATCATCGTTGGAGCCACACGCAAGTGTGAGTAACGATCCAAGAGCAAGTCTTATCCGACACTATTCCGATGATATCCAGGACGTCAGTATAAGCGAGATTAGAATGGCTCTCCAGCTCCTTAAAAACGGCAGGGCCCCAGGCGAGGATGGAATTAAAGCGGAGCTTCTGAAAGCGGTTGGAACACCGGTCCTTGAAGTCCTTCAGAAGCTCTTCAATTCCGTCCTCCATGGTGGCACTACTCCAGAAGCGTGGAGCAGAAGTGCGGTGGTCTTGTTCTTTAAGAAAGGCGACATTATTATTACATCATATTATAATAAAAAATAATCTTCTCCAGACTGAATTTTAGCCACGGCGACCAGTCTCAACGTAGACTAGCCATCTGCGCAGGACAGGATTATAGTTCCAAAGTGTATGTGCAAGCACAGGTGCACTATGTAATCGATGGTAATCCGACACGACCGGAGAGATATTAGGCAGGGGACAGGTGGATGGATGACATGCTTTCTGCGGCACGGGGTGTTACACCGCCAAATACCTGACTCCAAGCTGTTATTGAGAATTACTTTGCAGAATAACCCAATAACTTATTTTGGCCCGACCTAGGATGCGAACCCGGAACTTCATCATCTACGTTTACGATCACTAGACCAAGTAGACAGTCATATATTATCAATTCGGTAACAGGCAACAATGAAATCATTCATTGCAATTTTAGGTGCTGTTCTTACCAAGTGCCGGGCGGTATAGGAAAACATCGCGAGGAAAATTGCTCGTCATAAAATATTTCGAAGATATGTAGAGTCCACCAACACGCATTGCACAGCGTGACTGATCGTTCATAACCTGAGAAGGAAATGAGAAGACTACATGTATTTTATTTTATATATGTATATAGTATAGTATTTAGGTATATGCATGTCTGTATGTATGGATGTATGTATATGTTTTTATTATCTTTATTTTATATTAAGTATATTAATATTATAAAATTTATTATGAGGGTGCACACTAAATCCGCTTCTCTTTGAATCTGTCCAGTATCAGGCCTGCTGGAAGAAATTTCAATATGAAATAAGCAGTGCCTTTGTACAAAATATCTTTTTATTTTTCATTGTCACATTACTTCGTGTGTACATATATTGTTAAATAAATAAATAAATAAAGAGACCTGTGGATATAAGCTGAATTTCAGTTTACTTTTACTTGACTAATATCCTTTACTTTTATTTTTACTTTTATTTATTACTTTTTATAAGCCAATGCTTGACAACAATCCCACGTGGTGGTAAGTGGTGATGCAGCCTTAGATGGTAAATCGCACTGACTTAGCGTAACAAATACCTATTCACTATTGCCTTGAAGACGCCCAGATTCTATTCGGACGGAAAGTAAGACGCCGGCAAATTATTCCACTCCTTTGCTGTACGCATTCTATAAGTCGAAGCAAACCGTTTGCTTCTAATGCGTGAAATATAGATAACATAGGGGTGAAGTCTGGTCGTCCGATGGAGAAGAGGAGAGGGTGGAATTAAAGCGTGCAATTCCTGCGCACACTCACCGAAATGCATCCTATAGAATACCGAGAGGCTAGCTGCTATGCGCCTGTGCTCGAGGCTGACCAGGTTGCTTTAAACCAAATCAAGGTCACTAATGAGCGTCTTGGCACGTCTCTTCACTGAGTCCAACGCTGCCAGATAGCATTTTGCAGCACCAGCCCATATGTGACGTATGTGTAAGAAGTTATCCCGGCGTGAAGTACCGCCGTACCCTTGAGCAAGGACACCAAGTTTCCTTGCGGCTGCTTTGGCTCTGGACTCAATGAACTGCCCATAGTTGAGGTTCGTATCATGTAGATAAAAATGGTATAGCTATGGCTTAGCTGGGTAGAAGTCTATTTATTCTTGTCTTAAAAAAGTGAGTAACACTGTATTCAAAAGGACAGACGATACATTAAAAATGGAACTCTTAATACCTAAAATGTCGACTGGTGTACCTATAAGAACTCTAACATAGTATGAATATTAAAAAAGCTTTTAGCTTGTACATAAACAATCAAAATCTTACCAAAGTGTTTTTAAAGTGATAACCATTACGAATACTCGTAGCACGCTAAATGCTCCCTCAAACAAAACTGCTTTGTACATCAAAAGCGCGAGGCCCGCTTGGCCCCGATGCATTTCGTCAAAGCCTAACTGCATTGTGCGATACCGCATTGCACCTGAACTCCAGCACTGCGCAAATTAAAGTCTCCATAGTCACATGATAATATAATATTGGGCGGTGGTTTACCGCAATAAATTGTAATTTACACAGGGTGGGAATGTATCGATTTTAGGAAAATACTATATATGCCAATTGAATATTATTAAAGTATTGAAACGACAGAAGCCTAATAGTCAAGTAGAGGACCGCGGTCTTAGGCAGAGATCTATAGACCGTACTTTGAATTTGCTCAGACTTTACTTACGAAAAACTTAGTATGTTTAGCACGATCTTTGATTCTGAATTTACATTTGTATCAGGCCAAGATTAAGGTAAGCTTATAAAATTCAAAAAATTTAATATTTAAAATTGGAAAACAATCCAAATTGAATTTCGTAAAATAAGTTATTATTACATTTAACTAATTTTAGTTTAAAATATGAGCGCTGTCAAATAACTGTGTGAAACGTAAAGATTTTGGTTTATTGATATTGTGTGCATTTTAAGTTTTTTTTATGTTTAAGATGCTTGATCTTTTTATTACGACTGGCTTTGAAACTTGAACTCCTGATTCTACCTCTTATCTACCTATTTGATCTACGCTTCCGGAATTTGGACCCAACATTCCTTGAGCCTTTCTGTAACCCAGGTTGTTTAAGGACATTGTTATTTATAGGAGAATATAGTTTTATCTACTTTAGAAATTTAAAAATATTTGAACTTTTGGCTTTTTTTAACGATTGTGGAAGGGAACGGAAGAGAAGAGTGCAAAAATCATAAAAAAGAAGATTAAAAGAAATTCGAAATAAGTTTGAAATTACGTATATAAAAAATGAATAAATGCTATTTAAAAATTAAAAGGCGGTCTAAAACTACTTATTTAATGTTATATAAAAAAACAATTTAAAATTAATATGTTGGTTTTGTTTAATAT